CCGACTTTTAATGTTTAAAACTGTCTACGTGTTGACAAACCCATTGTTGGTATGTAAGAGTGGCTTAGTAATTTCATTAACAACCTTTTCTTATTTCATTGTCAAAACTGTCCAAGACACATCAAACCCTTTGGTGTATTTGTGAAAACTTTCTAAATCACTTTGGCGCATTTGTCTCTCAATGAATTAGAATTTGCCAACCATGCAAAGAAAAGTTCCATTTATATCCAAATTAACTGCCTTCGATTAGGAAATATGAAAAAAATATATAAGTTCCGCGGACGCGCGGTAGAAATCATGAAAGAAGAAATATGATAGTTTGAGTGATCCTGATGGATAACTGATCTCTTTATTTCAATTTTCTCTTATTTATACAATTTTCTTATTTGCTTAGTTGTTACAATAAGTATCAGTTACAATATTCGCTTATTCAGTAATTGGTTTTATTGTTTACATATTGTGGGTAGTCTAAGCGTAATGAAAAAGAATATTGGTTACTTAAATAAGCAAAGATGCTTATTAAGAAGCGGTATTATTGCTAAGTGCAAAGATACAGTTTTGTTTATAATTAGCGTAAAGCTACTGTGTGGAGGCTGCCGTTAACTTCCATGGGCGCTGCTTAGGCGACTTTGAAGGTTCTAAGCCACTCAATATTTCTTGTTTTTTAATTTCAAGACATTTTTGTAAAAGGTTATTTTACAATCTCAACGAAAGCGTGATATGTTCGACTCACTTCTCTTTCCTTCCATTGCCATAAAAAATAAAAACAGTTTTTACGATTCAAACCTTAATCAATGTTCAATAACGTCTTTTTAACTATTGGTTTTTGTCGATGGGTGAAAATTCAATTTTTGTCTACAAAACTTTCGAAAACCCTTAACAGGATGCTGTTGTTTTGCTCTTCCGAACGGCGACCAGTGAAGACGTTCTGTATCGACCGGAACAAATGGTAATCAGAAGGGGTTATATCTGGGCTATTAGGCTTGTGAGGGTGAAAGCTTCCCAGCCGTTGTTTTCCAAACATTATTTCTCGGTCTTGTTAGATGGCGCCGGGCGTTGTCATGCAAAATTATTGCCTCATGTTTAGTTGCATTTTCAGAGCGTTATTCGGCAATCGCTCGCTTCAACTTGATGAGTTCCTGTCGGTAAGATTCCTCATAATATCATAATACACCACGTCTTTCTAATTCCACCAAATGCAGAGCATAACCTTGGCGACGTGGCGATTCGGCTTTACGTCTTTTTGTAGCGTTCAAGTAGCATTTCCGATATGCCGAAAGGTCTCTCAACATCTCTTATCTTCGATTCATATGATACCCTATTTCCTTCCTTTAGAATGTATCCGGCTGCGAGTTCTACTGGTGTTTGTCAACAATCTTTATGAAGTAATGAAAACTTTCACCGAAATTATAATTCAATACGATGACTTTTAGCTGAAGTTTTCTTCATATTTTAATAATGAAGAGGAACTCTACGTAAAAAACTGTACCAAACACAAAGTTCGATATACTTGAATGAAAAAATCATTATTATTTAGGCTTCAAAAGAAATCTTGATTAGTAAATTATCTACATGGGAAAACTCGCTGGTAGCATAAGATTTTAAGGCTGAGTTTGTTATCGGTTTTGAATATTTTGTTGTTATGAGAAATGGTAAGTAACGATACAATATATTTGTGAAGTAACATCAATATCTTATAAACTATTGTACTTTAACGGTTAGCTGCTTCCAGTCGACCTAGTTAATTCAATATTAGATTAGGGATAATTATATTAAAGTAAGTGACTCTGACTGGAACCTATTTTTTTATTTGCGAAACCGCTCTTCGGGCTTCCTCATAGTCGACTATGAAATAACAATTCAATTGTATGTATTTGGCTGAAAGTTAGGGTCACAATTGAGTATATTGAAGGAATGTCCTTTCCATAACTCTCTTTCTTTCCGCCAGTCACCGAAACTCTTTTCTTATGCATACAGCAAGATCCATGAATAATATTCAGAACGTGCATTAATGGTTAAACTTATAGCACATTTTTTTAATATCTAGTTATTAATCGAGTTAGATATAGGGTTATATATACATAAATGATCAGGATGAAGAGACGAGTTGAAATCCGGGTGACTGTCTGTCCGTCCGTCCGTCTGTGCAAGCTGTAACTTAAGTAAAAATTAAAATATCTCTATGAAACTTGGTACAAATATTTCTTAGTACCCCCTAAACCGTTTAAGCTATAAAAACAAAACTCACTGGAAGCAAATGTTTTTAGCACCTCTATCTACGGTGTGAAAATGGGTGAAATCGGGGGACAACCCCGCCCACTCCTCATATATGGTGGGGATGAGATGTCTTTATAGGAACCGCTTTTAAAATTAGACAGTGGGTGTGGCTCCGCCCACTTTCAGGTGAAAACCCATATCTTGCGATCTGCTTAACCGATTTCAACCAAATTCGCTACATAACATCCTTCATATGTTTCTAAGTTATAGTACGAAAATCGGCGAAATCGGATTACAACCCCGCCTGTTTCCCATATAACACCATTTTAAATTCCATCTGATTCTTTCACTTTCCACTATGCAAATCAAGCAACAATGATTGTATCGGGGTAAAACTTTGCGTGAATAATGCGTTTAAAGTATGCGACCTTGGGAACAAAATTGTCTAAATCGAACCAAAACTGTCCAAGCTCCTAGGTACTGAATATGTGGACCCAGTTGAATTTTTACCGAAAATATCGGTCAATACGCAAAGAAATCTCAAACGAGTATACCATGTGACTTTGCGAGAATATAAAATGTTCGGTAACATCCCTAGCTTTACTTAGCCTTTCCTTACTTGTTTGTGTTTAGATTCTTACAAAAGAACAATTAACTGTCTGATCTTCAGATTCAGATCAAGAAAAAAATCTAGAGTCTATAATTTTCAAAAGTTTTTTGAAGTTAACAAAAAAAATATAACAGAACTGCTAGCGATCTAAACAACTTGCTTTGGCTTCGGGTGCATTTACTCTCACTAAGCAAATGCATTTATATTAAGAAAGACGAAGCTTCCTTCTTGGCACGTTGTTTTAGCTACATTTCCCTTGAATTATTTTGATTAAATTTTGGCTGCTTGGCTGGTTTTTTTTCTTGCTGAGCTGTTTAGTACTAGATGACTATCTGCTTTGGACTGTCTTTGTTTGCCGTTTGTGCTTTCGCTTGATGGAATGCCAAAATTGATGATATGCTGGTTGCTCTTTCCTTGATTATTGTGGACAATTGGCTAATTTTGCCGATGCTGTTGTTGTTATCTTTAGCATAGCGTTATTTGTTCCAATATTTCTGGCGCTGCTTAATGGTAATGTGCAAACTTAAGGGAAATATATGCTAATACTTACATGATTTCAGAACCTTTTGATGGTTCGTATTTTTGTTTATATATGATCAACAAGGTATATTAAGTTTGCCATGAAGTTTGTACCCCAGAAGGAAACGTCAGAGACACTATAAAATATACACATACCTATATGATCAGCATGATCAGCTGAGTCGGTTTAACCATGCCCATCTGTCGTCTGTCCGTCTGTATATATACGAACTATCCCCTCAGTTTTTAAGCTATCGATCAAAATTTTGCAACTGTCCTTTCCTCACTAAGAATCTTATTTGTCAGAAACGGCCGATATTGGACAATCGGAATCAAGCGCCTGCATGGGAAACTTTTTTATTTGACGTACAATCCTCACGAAATTTGGCATGAGTTATTTCCTAAAGAAACAATGTAATCTCCAATCACTATAGCATACAGCTGCCATATTAACTGAACGATAAAGGAGTAAAGTGTCTATATGGAAAACTTTTTTATTTGATGAGGTATCTTCACAAAATTAAGCCTGGATTATTGTCTAAGGCAACAATGTGATCTTTGAAGAAATTGTTCAGATCAGATCACTATATCTTATAGTTGCAACACAAATTGAACGATCGGATTCAAGTTCATGTAAGGAACCCTTGTATTTGTGAAGGGTACTAGAGTATTGGTGCAACCGAAGTTAGCGTTTTTTCTTGTTTTTTTTTCTGTTTATAAATACATGTAAGAATTTAATAAGCCAAATATTGATAATAACGTTAATATTTCAACCAGTTTTAGCTTGGATGTTTAAAAATTAGCTCTCAGACCACAGAACAAAACCAGTATTACTTTTTAGTCAAAAGATTTTGCGATAATGGATATATATATCTACAAGGATATATATAATATATTGTATAGAGAAGATTTCAAGAAGTGCGTTTCTCAAGCAGAAGCAGTTATAATTATGTTTATGGCTTCGGTCGGTTTTTACTCATAATCGGGTATTAAAATATATTACATGATTCAACACAATTCTCTTGAATGTATTTATGAGTTGATGTGGAGTTTCCCAAGTGAAAAAATATTTGCAAGCATTAGCAATAGTTTAAGCAGAACCTTTCAATATTTTGAAACTCCATGTTTGGAGCTTACTAACCTCATTGATGTTTCTTTAGATCTCAGTTTAGAAAGTCTTTAGGAAGGGAACATGGTACACAAAAAACAACTTTCCTTTACGAAGAGTAAAGTTTTACTAACCGCCATTTTCATTTAATTATACAATCAAGGTCAAGGTTAGTAAGTCAGCCACAACAGTATAGAAATACACATTAATCTGAAAAAAAAACCCCAGCGTGTAGCATTATCTTTGAGTAGGAGTACTTTCAGTCGATGTACAAGTGAAATATTAAACGAAATAAATGCTGAGTAATTTTTATAATAAACTAAATGGCGAAATTTTAATCTTTAGAATGCATTATGACCATATGAGTTGTTTAAAGTCTTCACAAAGTTTGCAACTGGGCTTGCTGAGAAACTTTAATATAGCGAAAATATTTCTCTTGATAAAATGCAGAAAGGAAACTTGAAATAGTGTTTTAAAATTGTTTGCTCAGTTTAAAATGGCATTCAAATAACGCACAATATTATAACAGTTGTTTGCGTAAAAAAGCATTTATTGTTATAATATAAGTTTAGTTTAAGCAGAGTATACGATATCTATGCCAAACAAGCAGGCCTGTACTCTCACATATAAATATATAAAAAACGTTTTTAAAATTTTTTTATTTAAATAAAAATTCATTGAAATGGTTCCAATCTAAAAAATATGGCATTCCCGATTTCACCTGGCAGGAAGCTTAAGCCGTGTAAAAACTCGGTGGCTCTTATAACGCCCCGATGCATTGAGAACTCCTTGCCTGTGCGCAACCTGTATTTATCTGTAAGCAAGAGTGAAATAGTCAACCAGTTTTAAAGCTTGAGGCTTTCTCAACACTTACCGGTGAAAGCTCGTAGATTAATGCTCGTTTCGAGCGACGTGTGTTCGTATAAGATATCCAACACTTCATTATCGATATTGGGGTACCGATAACGGATACACTCAAAGCAATTCGACGCTTTTCCCTTACAATCCATTCTCAATAGGCTTCAATAATGTAATTACCTATATACGAAAATATGTGATGTTTTCTATTTTTGGCAGGAATTATGAATTTTTGTTCAGCACTCAGTGACTTCAGTCAACTATTTACAAGTTGTCTGGAACTTACTATTAATGCATCTCCTCATATTGCTTTCGTTCTTTTTACAACAATTAATGCATTAAACCACTCATCTACATATGATCAAGTGTGTATGTGTTTTCGAAGTATTGTACTTGAATTGCATGTGTTGCTACCTGTTCTCTAAATAATTAAGCATTGTCTACGCACTAATGACTTTTGTTTTAAAATAAGATTTGTTTAGTGCATCAACTCGGTATTCTCGGAAAAATATCTACATCCTCCTTTCTGTTTGTAGGACAGGTAAAAATGTTCGTATGTAAAAAAATATGAAAATGGCGGTTCACATTGTGGCAAATGCATACTTTGAATAAGCAAACATAAAAACGCATACGCATGAAAACATTATATAAATCATTATAATATTAATATCCTCTAACCATAGTATATCAGGTCCCATTTTTTCATTGTCGTTATTAGTTGAATATTATTCTATATGAACCCATTAAATTTTAACAGATTTTTGAGCTTTGAGGAGGATATACCAAGGTAAATCTTTTACCCAACACCCAAAAATATCAAACTAGTTTTGAATGGTAATAACACCGTCTTTAGTCTAATATTTCTATGGATATATTCTTCTGCTATTATATATTCGTCTGCTATAAACCGCAAAATCGACAAACAAATTGTATAAGCTTTACATAGTTGATGATTCCAATAAATGTTGGGTTGGTTTTGATTACCAGTATATGTCCTTGGATCGAAAAATTCGCGTCCTATTGAAAGACTTTTGTTATGCGTTTTAAGTAAAGGTTCAAACCTTTCTTGTTAGAAAAAATATCACTTAAAAACAAGAAAAAAGTCAGCTTCGGCTGCGCCTAAAATAAAATTAAATAAAACACATTATAGTTCACCTATAGTTAGACATACCTATATTAGTCTTTTAGTTTTATGGCTTTTAGTGATTGAAGAGAATAACGGGCAAGGGACCAACGTTTCCGCGCATTATGAAAATCATCCTGTAAGTCCATTTTATAACGCTTTTATTAGCTTCACCTGTATGTTTGTATGTATGTATGGTATGTTTTTATGTATGTAACTTTTTCCTGTGCAAGCGATTACTTCAGTATACGTTGAGATAACGTGATGACACTTGCTACATGTGCTCTTTGGCACCCAAGAGAGGTATTATAGATGGCCGTAATTGGACCACTGCTCCGCCCACAAAACGCCATTAAAAGAAAACCTATAAAGTGCCATAACTAAGCACTAAATAAGATGTAATTTGGTACAGGGGATCGCGGTTTAATGTACACAGCTTCCAATTAGCAAATGCTAAATCAACCAAATTTGCTGAGAGGAAGTCTTTTTAGCACTTCTTCATACGCTGTGAAAATGGAATGTGGAATCAGATACGCCCACTCCCCATATAACGGCTATGTTGAAAACTACTAAAAGTCCGATAACTAAGTAAATATATACGTTATAAGCATTAACTTTCGCAAACCAGATGGTAGGGAAGAGATTTATAGGAAAAGGTGTAAAAATTGAAAAATGGGCGTGGCACCATCAACTTTTAGGTGAAATCCTATATCGCAGGAACTGCTTAAACTATTTCAACCAAATTTGGTGTGTGAGGTTACCTAGACATTCCTATCACACACTGTGAAAATGGACAAAATCGTACAACGACTATAAAAATATGCAGCCAAAAGCATAAACTATCCATGTAGATATTTGAACATTTTTACTCAAACGCATCCTTAAAGAAAGTGAAAATACCACATGCGGCAAAATTGTAAGTATGGTTTTAAATACTAAAAAAACAGGCTTTAAAGCACATTCAACTAAAAAGTAAGAAAAAATATAGTTTCAAAAAACTAAAAAACTCGCTTTTATAGCACTTCAAACTAAAAAGTGAAAAATAGTTCCTTATATAAACTGACAGAAATATTGACCGAAAAATAGTTATATCATTATGAAAAGGCGTGGGATGGTTTGTGCCCTATTTTTCGTATATCGAGCACTTTTCTCACAATAAAAATCTTGACCGAAAGATAAGTGCTTTAAAAGCGTGTCTTTAGTTTTTTTAAACTATATTTCATGTATGAAATTTTTTGGCATAGCCACCTTTATTTCGCCAGTGATGTAAAAGCTTTTCTATCTCCATTTGATTATGCCCGTTTAGGTAATTTATACCAGTTGCTGTTCGATGCGTTACTCTCCAAAGTTTGTCGACTTAAGGAAATCTGTAAAAATCTACTATGCCGTGGAAGTCCAGCTTTCAGCAAGTATTTTGCCAAGGTGAAATAATGACAAAAATGCCAAACATATCTCTTGAGTAGTATAAGGTTTACCTTAGTTTGAAATTTAACATTCATATACATATATATGTGTTCAATAAATTGTAATTTGGTGTGATTTTATTATTTAAAACTCTCTAAACATACTCACAGATATTAATGGAGAACTATTGATATATATGTAATATTTTATTATAATATGAAGAATGTTAGTTATTTGCAACTCGAATAAAATTTTTAACCCAAATATTTATATACCTAATAGTTATCCAAAGCTACTAAAATTTACGTATTTTTTACTGACCGAACACCGAGGTGTACGTGCCCATCTTCCAGCACGATTCATCTCATAATAAAGTATTGTAAGCGCGATTGTTAACGAAGTACCGCAACTAGTGTAGTGTGCATGATAGGACGAAGTTTGCTTCGTAAACGAACGTAATAGGTGCCTTGGAGCCTCGGAAAAGGCGGTCGTTATCAAATGGGCTGGTATTCAAATAGAAAAAAATCTACAACGGTATGAGGGGAAATTACATGAGTACAGCAGTTGCAACATGTTGCAAGAGGTGGAGCATTTGCAACATATCAAGTAATCGCAAGGCAAGCTTAATTAACGCGAAATGCAAATAACAGTAAACTATTAATGCAATAAGCGTGTATAAATAAATTTAAAAAAAGTGTGATTAGAAAATTTAATTTTAAACACTTCTTTTAAAGCTTTAGTTATAGGGTAAACTTAGTGCCACATAATGAGATCTGCGTTGTATCTGCTTGGTAAAATATATAAAAATGTCGGTATTTTGCACATTCACAGTGCGGTGATATTTTTCTGTAAATATTTACTTGCGCACATACTGGAGCTTGTTGCCAATTGGTTGCACCATAAATACATATGTAAACAAAGCACATATGCATGTACGACAGCCAACAATATACCAGCAACAATGTAGTCTGCTCCTAGATTCGGTGGAGGATGTGTGTAACTTCCGCACGCACTTCAAGCGAACGGGTGAAAAAGTATAAAAAATGCATTGAATTGCACAATAAAACAAAGAAAAAATATGTATGCAGAAAATTTTAACCCTTTAAAACCTCTTTTTTTTAACTACCTAGACAGAAAATTTTCTATAGCCTCTGCGCTCATTTGCATGTATAACATATTTATATAAGTAATTTATTAGTGATCAGAGTTGCAAATAATGTTTTATTGATTTAACAGATGAATTAATTTTTTTTATTTCATAACCCCGAAAATTTTTAAATTTTTAATCCAAAATACCGGGTTGCAAAAATTAAAAATTTGATTCCAAATATCAAAATGAAAAGCAAACAAGTAAGGAAGGGCTAAGTTCGGATGTAACCGAACATTTTATACTCTCGCAAAGTCAAATGGTATACTCGTTTGAGATTTCTTTGGGGATTGACTGATATTTTCGGTAGAAGGTCAACTATAGACACTGGGGTCCACATATTTAGTACTTAGGGGTTTGAACAGTTTTGGTTCGATTTAGACAATTTTTGGCCGCAAGGTGGCATACTTTAATTGCATTATTCACGCAAAGTTTTACCCCGATATAATCATTGTTACCTGATTTGCATAGTGGAAAGTGAAAGAATCAGATGGAATTGAAAATGGTGTTATATGGGAAGTAAGCGTGGTAGTAGGCCGATTTCGCCCATTTTTGCACTATGACATAGAAACATGAAAAGAACGTTATACACCGAATTTGGTTGAAATCGGTTAAGCAGATCTCAAGATATGGGTTTTCACCTAAAAGTGGGCTGTGCCACGCCCACTGTCTAATTTTGAACGCGGTTCCTATAGTCATCTCATACCATCTCAGAGATAAAATTTAATGTCTCTGGCGTGTTTAGTGCTTGATTTATCGCGCTTTTAGTAGTTTTTAACAGTATCGTTATATGGGGAGTGGGCGGAGTTGCAACCCGATTTCAACTATTTTCACACCGTCAATAGAAGTGCTAAAAACATTTGCTTCTAGTGAATTTTGTTATTATAGCATTAGCGGTTTAGGAGATATGTACATTAAACCTATTAGAGGCGGGACCACGCCCACTTTAAAAAAAAAATTTTAACTGCAGATGCCCCCACCTAATGTGATCCTGTGTACCAAATAACAGTTTTTAATCTTTTTGTGGAGCTTAGTTATGACAATTTATTTGTTTTTGATTAATGGCGTTTTGCGGGTGTGGCAGTGGTCCGATTACGCCCCTCTGCAATACCAACCGTCTTACAGTACCAAGAATAATCTGTACCAAGTTTCATAAAGATATCTCAAGTTTTACTCAAGTTAGAGCTTGCACGGACGGACAGGCGGACGGACGGACAGACGGACGGACGGACAGACAGTCACCCGGATTTCAACTCGTCTCTTCATCCTGATCATTTATATATATATAACCCTATATCTAACTCGATTAGTTTTATGTGATACAAACAACCGTTAGATGAACAAATCTATTATACTCTGTAGCAACAGGTTGCGAGAGTATAAAAATATAATACCTTCATTGGCATAAATTTAAAGCTGAACAAGTAAGGAAGGGCTAAGTTCGGGCCAACATTTTATAATGTGCATATAATTGCAACTTGCAGGGATCAAAGCCGGGGAAAATTATTTTCGAATTTCAATAATATATCTGAAAGGTTGACCAATACTTTCGGTAAAAAAATAAGCA